TTTTTTTTTAAATTCTTTTTTTTTTTTTTTTTGTTTTATTCTTTTTTTTTTTTTTTTTTTTTTAATTTTATTTTATTTTAACTCTGGTATATAAATAGAGAAGAAAAATTGAACAATTTACTTTATTTTCTATCCTTCAATCTTTGCTTATCATCTTTATTTTCTTTTATAAAACCTGTAGATTTTTAAAAATATAATTTTATTATTCTATTCAAATGTACTGTGATGTTTTTCTTTTTGAAGATCAAAGATATATAATATTATTTTTCTTTTTTGGTTTCGTTATTTTCTTTATTCTTTTTTTTTTTTTTGTATTATATGCCAGGGCCACGGTTTCTTTATTCTCATAAAAAAAATTTTTTTTTCATGTTAAAAGTGTATTCTTGGAAAAAAATTTCCAAGGATAAAGGATTTTATAAAAATAAAGTTTTCTTTAAAAAAACGATATGTTGGGGTATATTAAAAATAATGAAATATCGAGTATCATCTTTATTTGAAAAATCAAAAAAAAAAAAAAAAAAAAAAATGAAACCAAAAACTATGGAATAATGCTTAACGTCTGTCCACCATCCCAAGTCTCACCAACATTCAAGGTTATGTATGATGAAACGGTTCCCGGCTCCACGCAAACCATTTTTTTATACTCCTCATCTCCAAAACCGGACATTCTCCGTGATTTATCGATCCATGGATTCCAAACGACTAAATAGATGTACAAATACAGAAGAGTTTGAAACTCCGTCTCGAAATAATAAATTCGCTGAAGAAATTAAAATAATACCTTTATCTTTCAGATTAATCGTTTTCAAGATAAAGTTCCCCGAAGTACCATATCCCAGGTCAATATAAACATCATCGTTTGGGACACCGATATAGATTCGATCCACTTCTCGATCGATTGTTATCGAGTCGTCGGTATCCAAGGTCTCTGGTCCATTGGCAACTTTATCGAAGTATGTGACATTAGAGAGTCCCTTGATCGACACTTTGGAAATATCCTTTTAAGAGAGCAGTAGATGCCTTGTATTAAATGAAAGAATCCCATGACAAAGCATCAACGAAAATCGTATATTACCGGAACGAGATAATAAGTATGAAAAAGCGTATTGAAATCAAATGATTTGGTATCCTCATTTTTAACTTCAATTGTGCTGGTTAAAGTTTCTGCAGCTAAGGTCACCGTACAAATGAGTCTAAATTTTTTGGGCCATTTTTGACGAAGGGCTTCGGGCACTTGGGCATCCGTAAGTCCTAAACCGCGACCTTACATTAGAAATTTTCGTCACGTGATAAATAATAACGTAATAATGATAATACTCACTAAACCTAACAGAAACTTGTGAATCACTATCAACAGAAATACCCTGCCATTCCCATCTGGAAACGCGAGCAAAACCATGTTGCGGAAGTTCAGCGGTCTCGGCAGATGGATTTGATGCCTTGCCGAATTGCGGGAAAACTAAATATCGTATGGATACAAATAATGGTAAATCGTATTTCGACGGAATGGATTATATGAATTCTAACGGATACCTAGAGGAATTCCCCCATGTATAGCGCTCGTTCCATCGAGATGAGTGTCTTCGCTAGAACGCAATACGTATATTCGCGAGAAGCTCATTATTACAAGGAAAAATAAAGTAATAATGATATGAATGCAATACCTCAAGAACAGACGTTCTTTCTCCTGATACTTCCAACTTGTCACGGTAGCTCCATAGAAGTAAACTGTCAAAGAGAAAATTATATTCCTAAATTTGACATGAAAAAATATCGAAATGTCAAGTTCATACCTTCAGCAGAAGAGCCGGAGGGATGTTCCAAGACAACTTTTTCTTCGAGAACTTTGACGGGCATTTTTTATGAAAATTTTAATTTTATCTGGTCAATTTACAGTACGTGAAAGAAGAAAATAACGGTAGCACAGGATTCTTTTCATATTGGATATATACTGTACTTCGTGAACTAAAGGGGTGCACACGCTCTCTAAACAAAAATGGTTAATAACAAAGTTGTGTGGATATATGTGACTCTATAATGGAATAGTTTACTCTCATTAGGGTGTATGAATATCCATCTATGTTTAATGTATCCCTTTGGATAAACTCTTAAATTAACTATGAGTTAGGAGCTAGACAAGCATTTGTTCAAGGGAATTCTGAATGTAAAGGTGTAAGTATCCGATCCTTTATATAATAGAGTTACTTCCAGGCCGAAAAACGACCAATCATATGTGATATAAATATCCGAATGACGCAATTGCAATACTCAGAATCGCACCGACTATATTGTAAAATTCTTGGTTATACAAAGGAACTTGAACCAAAGTTTTTTTTTTTTTTTCTTCTAATTTACAAGTCTGTGAAATGAAGAAGATGAATTTTTGAAATAAATCTGTTAAAAAGGAATCACTCAACATTGCTTTGTTCATCAAATTCTTTTTCGTTCGCTTGTCTTAATGAGTTTGATTTGCTAAAGCCATGTACTGGAACAGATGTGGCGTGCATTCTGGCGGAAGTCTCGATTGTATCATCTCGGTGATCTAAGGAAACGGTCAATCACAGAAATTTTTGAAAACTTGCGCCATCCAGTAAACCGGAAATGTGAGAAGAGATGATCAAACATTAAAATTTACCTTCCCGTCGGGGTGAGCTTGGCTAAGCCTCTGGAGCTCCTGGGCCAAGTATACTTTTGGTTCTGAGACGGATGCAGTGGGATCCCCACGTGGTTTGCTGGTCGTAGTCAATTTCGAAAATGATATTTGAAACTGCCTTTCTTCTTCGAAATCGAAATTAAGTAATTCATCCACGGCGTCGTAATTCTCAATTTCGGTTGGGGCTTCAAACAATTTGATCAATGCTGCGAGAACAACTGGCCTAAATTTATTTTAAACAAATGATAACTTTTTGTGAACAAAAAGAGAGGTGCGATAAATGAGATGATGTTTTTCGTAAATTTACCATATGTTGATATATGGTTCTGATAGAATCAAGTTACTCTGGGTCAACAGGCGTATCATGGCCACCGAGCAGACCTTACGATCCGTGTAACCTTGAATCTTTTGTAAATCTGGAACGACAAAAGCATTTAAAACTTCCAAGAATAATCTAGAGAAGCCGTTGTATGAAGAGTGTAGACAGAGTTATAGACGGATAAAGAATCTCCCGAATAACTCGATTCAATTCAATATTATATACTTTTCTTGGATGGAGTCAAAAGCTTGTATAACATAATCCGGACCCCCATGTAGATTTATTGCGATGAAGAAGCAAACAAAATTCACAAAACCTAATGTGAATCTCTCGGTCTTACTGCTTTGTAACCTCCTCAATAGCAGTGATATGATGGCTCCGATGTATTGATTGAGTGTTAGACTAAAAAGCCAATGTCAGGTTAGTTATAATACAAATGGAACATGGCTACTGAAAAAAAAAGTGAAACATCAATCTTACGTTGGCACGTATTGAACAATGGAACATAATAATTCGAGTCCATATTTGTCGTTGGTCTTCGATGCGATTAACTTTTGGAAGATGCCTAGGATTGGCTCCAATTGTTTATTGGCGATAATGCCACTGGAATCGCGGTATATATATGCATGAAGCATTCTAACCAGCGCAGGGACATTGCCTATTAAGGGTTAACATAAAAGGGTATGGGTAATGCAGGTGTCGAAATCCACCCAGAATCATTGTGATAACGAGCTTCGGGGAAGTTCTTACCCGACGACTCCCATAGATTAGGTAATAGTAAGGCTGGTAGCAAGCTTTTGTATATTTCAGGTAACTGCGTTTCTTGGTGAAACTCGAGGAGCTGTGAAAATATTTGAAACACATATGGAACAAACTCTGAAGAGAGATTTGATCTCATTGTACATAAAAAAATACATCGGGATTTGGAACGACTAATTATAATATAGACAAAACACGTACCGGCAACATCCTGCTGCAGAATGGCCTGAAATGGTCCGAGTAATACGCCTTCAAAATCCCGCAGCGCAGCTGGATTATCAGAACAAATAAATCTAAGAGCAAAAAGGAAGCGCGCACTTATACATTCATGCATATATGTATTACGTGAAAAAGATGAATGTTTGTCCATGCATACCTCACCAATGCGCCAATAGATTCGAAGACATAATGATTAAAGCGTGGATTGCTAGGATTTCTGCTGATCTCGCCTAATATTTTATTCAGATGATCCATAATATCTGCAACATACGGTACCATATCTTCACGGCTCGTAAAGATAACTCTCATAACGGCTGAACAATAGAGAAGTACATTAATAATATGGATTATTTGGTTGACACACAATTCGGTTAGATGCTATGTCACGTACCCTTCATCAGATAGTCATTTTCAGCCAAAGTTTCCGGAGTTGATCCAGCCTCGATCAGTCTAAATAAACTGATAAGAAGGTCTTGTGTGAAAGGTTTAATGTCTGCTTTGTTAAATCTGTTGATGCAATAAATTTTAGGTGAGATCGGGGAGTGAATGACATTTCCGTGCACATCTCACATAATCCTAATAAAGGCTTACACCATGACATTTTCTTTTCTCATAAATAAAATTCGTTCAATGGCAATCGCGGCGTATGTGTGAACGACGTAATTTTGAGAGGAAAGGTGTTTAACAAGTAACGGGAACACCGTGGTTAATCGATCTTTGCTCATCTATTTTGAATGTAATAAACATGAGCCAAAAAATATTTCGTTTTAAAAAAAAGAAAAAAATTCTTTCTTTGTTACCTGATTTCGAAATGTGTATAAGTATTTGATGGCGTCAACCTTTAACACCGGTTGACCACTGTCAACGGATGCTTGCAAGTCGGGTAAAATGTTTGCCGAAAACCATTCGACAACATCCACCAAGTCATTTACCGTGGTGAGACCATGCTTGTAAAAACAACAAAAAGATTCATGTCAGGACCTTCGAGTCTCAAAATTCATTAGGGAAGCGAGAACTAGTGCTTCTTTGCTAGACACCGTATATTTAAATTACCTTAGTTGCGGTTCCCGGGGTTGCTATCGAAGTCAGAAGGTATATCGCCGCATCCTTGTCTTTCCAATTACTCGGATTTTCATTGTAACGCTACGAGATTTGTGATAATAAATAAAAAAAGCAAGAGAATACATTTTTCATGATAATATGTGCCCCCCCAAAATACCTACCGCAAGATATTGTGTAATGTATGATCCAATAATACGCGTAATGTCCGTCATAAAGTGAGTCATCATGCTTCGCACGAAATCGGAAGAGGCTCGCCTACGAGTATCACTATCTTAAAAAAAAAAAAGAAAGCGTCACTAAGCAATGCCCATCGAGTAAGAAAATTCGTACGTTCTTGCGCACTCACCCGATCCTTCCAAATCTCTCCTAATATATTCGATTGGATCGTATTCAAATAGTTCCTCGTCTACACCTGCAATAAGGGTAAACTCGTCACATAAATGAGAGCATTTACGACGCATCACATATTCGATGTATAACCTACTTCGCAGATACATGTTTGGAAGCACAATATTTTCGCATAATTGTCTGAGCGTCGTTTCGTTGTTGAAAAGGTTGTGATATCTTTCCAACTTAACCACCGTAGACAAGAAAGCCATGGCCTTACTCACGAGCTGCACAAAACGGAGTAGCCGTTAGAATTATTGTTATTATCATTAATGATCAGAGATTATTTATTTACTCACAAGATCA